TCTGCTTCCACTTTCCTTTCCTGGCAAACTATCAGTCACTGATCTAGTTCCTCTTCACACACACTGCAGCGGACATTTGAGATTGTCTAAGCGTGAGACGGAAACCCACGCTTGCCGAAAGAGCCGGGGCCACTACTTGCCCTCCGTCCAGTGCGTGCTTGGAGCACCGTTTGCTTTGCATGGTGCTGCCACACTTGAAAACAAAGAATGATGCAAGCAACCACCGTTAGCCACAGGGGGCACGCTGGGGCCCTGACATTTGCCCAACTAAGCCAGACTTTGACTCCCTGAAATGATACCAAGGGCTCCCCCTGCGTGGCTGGGTGAAGGAAGTCAACAGCTCCTGGTTCCAGCTGGGACAGGATCGCCTGTAGCCCGGGCAAGGATCGCCTTCCTTGTTCAGTCCAGCCCCTGGTGTGTCTGTGTGTTTCCCAGCAATGCCAGGTCTCCTGTGGCGGCTGCTTGGGGGTCCCCCATGGCAGCGGCAGTCTCACAATGCTTATTATACTCCATCAGCACCTTGGTTCATCTAACCCAGCATTGCCAGCTCTGACCAGCAGTGGCTCTGTGGGGTTTCCGGCAGGGTCAGAGTTCGGTTCCTAGTCCTGCCTGGAGCTGCTGCCAATTGAATCCTTCTACATGCAAAGCTGCATTGGCTTTGGACTGCACTCCTCTTCAGAATTTGTATAGTTCCCTGTTAGCTGTAATTTAGGCAGAAATCTTCTCCTCCTTCTCCATCAACTCTATCTCCTCCTCCTCCTCTTCCTTTATGGGTATGTATATGGGGACAGAGTTTGAGTATGTATTTCTGCTTCTGGTCTTTAATTATTTCTAGCTTCCTGCTGTTGTTTTGAGCTGTCTCTTTGTCATTATTCTTTGCTCAGTAATCAACTCAAATGGAGATTGCGGCCAAGAATTGGCTCTGATTTATGGCAGCCCCAGGTATGAAAGCTCTCCAAAATGCCCTGTCCGGGACAGCCTCCTTCAGCTCTCGTAAATGCAGCGCTGAGGCCTCCTTCATGCAGTCAACCCACCTCATAGTTGGCCTTCTCTGCCTTCAGCTTTCTCTAGCCTGCAGCTTCTCCAGTGATCTTGGCTTCTCACACGGTGTCCAAAGTATGACAGCCTCAGTTTGGTCATTTTGCTTCCAGGAAAGGTTCCAGCACGATTTGATCCAGGACCCACCTGTTTGTCTTTCTGTTGGTCCAGGATATTCACAAATTTCCCCTCCAGCACCATGTTTTGCACGCATCCGTTTTCTTCCTGGCAGCTTTCTTAACTGTCCACCTTTCACACCCATATATAGAGATCAGGAATGCAAGCGTGTGGGTGATCTTGGCCTCATGGAACATGTCCTTACATTTGATGATCTTTTCTGCTTCCTTCATTGCTCAGTCTTCTTCAGATTTGTGGGTCCAGTATCTTTTATACAAGTTTACATTAAACCATATAACTGAGTGCTTCTCCACCTCTTTTAGTTTTGACTTTTGTCAAAAAGATACCCTAGGAAATGTTGGGGTGCAACATAAGCAGTCACTGTAAGCCACAGAGGGCCCGTTGGGGTCCTGGGAGTTGTCCCACATGCCAGGATCACAGGAATTCAGTGCCACAGGAATTTGGGATGGCCACCAAACTGGATGGCTTTAAAGGAGGATTGGGCAAACTTGGGGGTGGCAAGGAAGCTGTCTGTGGCCACTAGCCTTGCTGGCCAGGCGCTCCCTCCTTCCCCAGAGGTGGCCTGACTGGATCCAAGTGTTGCTGAGGAGCTGGGCAGGAAGAGGTCTTGCGCCATCCTGCTGGAGGGATCCAGCTGGTTTGCCTCCACGTGCCCGCAGTGCTGGACTGGGTGGCCCATTTCTGATGTCCCTGTGTTCTTAAATAAAAACATGCTCACTTACACAGAATTAGCAGCAAAATCCTATGCACGTCTACTTGGAAGTAAGCCCCACTGATTTCAATAGGATTTATCACCTGTCCATGGCTGGGGCAGGATCGCCAGACCTGGGTCCCTCTACCCAAGATCTCATAATTGTAGTTATTATGCTTGTGTATTCTTTCCTTAAAATCTTGCAGAAGTGTTCGTTGGATACACTACAGAC